CCCATTGCCTTCTTGCCTGCATGGTTTCTGCTGAGAAATCCAAGCCTTTGTATGTAACACTTCTGTTTTCCCTAGATGCTTTCAGGAGTGTCTCTTTATCTTTGACTTTGGAGAGCTTGATTATGATATGTCTTGGTGATTTTCTTTTGGGGTCTATCTTTCCTGGGGTTCGTTGTGCTTCTTAAATGTTTATCTTTTCACTTTTCAGGATGCTAGAGAAATTTTCTTCCTGCAGTTCTTCAACTATTTCCTCTGTGGACTTGTGTGAGTCTTCTTGTTCTGTAAAGCTGGTAATTCTTAAGTTATTCCTCTTCATGTTGTCCAACATGACTCTTAGACCTTCTTCAGATTTTTTAATCCTTTTTTCTGTTCCACTAGCTATAAGCCTTCACACTTTTAAAATATCCCTAGCTATGTGGTTCCAAGTTTTGGAACTCTGCCCTGCATCTGCTTTGCCTGGTATTCTATGTGTGTGACCACGAACTTCACTGCACTTCTACCCTAGCCGCCATCAAGCCCCGCCTCCTGTTGTTTTCTTTATGGTAAGGTATGATTTTATTGAAGACTGAAGTCTTTGATCAAGTCCTCTTCACTTTCAGCAAGCAAGATTGTGTCATCTGCATATTGAAGGTTGTTAACAAGACTTCCTCCAATCCTGATGCCATGTTCTTCTTCATATAATACAGTTTCTCAGATTATTTGCTCAGCATACAGATTGAACTAATAAAAGGATAAAACTCAGATGCACACTTTTCTTAATTTTAAACTATGCAATATTCCCTCTTGGTTTATGTACAGGTTTACATGAGCACAAATGAGTGTTCTGGGATTCTCATTCTTTATAATGTTAGCCATAATATGTATGGTCCACATCACTGAATGCCTTTGCATAGTCAATAAAACACAACTCAACATCTTTCCGGTAGTCTCTGCATTCAGCCAAGATCCATCCTATTATCATCACTGCTGTACCACATCTTCTTCTGAATCTGGCTTGATTTTCTGGCACTTCCCTGTTAATGATCATCCTTGTTGTTGTTAAGTGCCATCGAGTTGGTTCCAACTCATAGCAACCCTGTATAGGGTTTCTGAGGAGTGGCTGGTGAATTTGAACTGCCAGCCTTGTGGTTCAAACCAACCTTGGGGTCCAGTACATTATCCCACAGTCCCACACCAGGACTCCTGATCATCCTAGATCTTGGCTTTCTTCAGACAATTGACTTATCCTCATCACCCAGTAATTTCTTCTCAAGACCCCTACCAAAGCCCCTCCTCAGCTCTGGCTTCATCAGGGCTCCCTTGCTCTGTCATTGTTTATTGAGAGTTTACCACAGCCAGGCTCCACACTAAATTATTTCCTAATATTTCTGCTTATTTGTTTGTCTATTTTGGGGCATAGCAGGAAATGGATTTTAAAAATAACTATCATGGTACATTTCTACAACGGAGACCTATGTAGCCAATATTAATGATAGTGTAGGAGAATGCAGAATGCCATAGAAACACTTACAAGCATATGGTTAAGTAGAAAGGGCAATAAGAAGAAGCCAGGATACAAAATCAAATCAACATTGTGAACCCCCACTTTTTCAAAATGATACTATTTATGCCTAGAAAATGACTGGAAGGATGACTCCAAATTGTTCATAATGGTTCCATCTCGCAATGGGACCACCATGTGTGGTTTACAGGGGAGGAAACTGAGGTTTAAAGGGGTGTCATTGCTTCTCCTCCTCCCATCCCTCCCATCCCCGCTAATCTTGTCAGGCTTCCAGCACCGGCCCCGGGGACTCTGATGATTTCACCAGCTACACTCACCTATTCCTTTGCTGGTGTCTTCTTCCCAGAAAAAGAAAAAACCAAACTGCAGAAGCAGAGAGAGGATGAGCTAATTCAGAAGATCCACAAACTGGTGCAGAAGCGAGATTTCCTGGTGGATGACGCGGAGGTCGAGCGGTTAAGGTCAGCCGGCTGTGGGGTCCCCATGGGACTGCCACCCACCCCTGATCCCAGACACACACACACACAGCCTTCCCCAGAACAGAGCCCTGCCAACGCTCCCAGGAACACTGAACCCAAACAGACCGTATTGCACATTCAAGATACATTGACAGTCCAGCCCCCAAAGCCTCACAAAGGCCTGAGGATTTTCAGTACATGTCCTTAGAAAAGGTGAAGAGGAAGGAGTTATGGCCCTTAACACACTACAGAATGTCTTCTTCTTTAAAAACAAAACAAAACAAAAAAACACTTTATCTTGTTTTGGGTGAAAGCTTACACAGTAAATGAGTTGCAGGTTTAACCATTTGTTGGGTCACATTTTTTCACGGTGAGTCAACATTCTCCTTGGTTGCCTTCTGGCTATTCTGTTTCAGATGCTCTGGTTCTCTCTGTCTGCTTATCGTATCTTTGACATCGCGTTCTGGTCAACCTTTTGGCCTCAGAGCTTCTTACTCATTCTCTTCACTGAATCCAAGGCAACTTCTGGAAACTTTCGCTGCTATGAAACCACTCTCTCTTACACTGCCCTCTCCCCTTCTCCTCTCTTTGGAGAAAGGCCCCATGTCCCTTCCTAGCAGTCAGGGAATCCCTGTCACCTTCATCTGGATGCAGATGTGAACACCCCTCTGTCCCCGATCAAAGGAAGGAAACAGTCTCCGCCTGGCTCCTAGCGCCTCTCTCAGTCCAAAAGGCAATGTCCTCTTTACTCTGAGTCCTCCGAAGCTCCGCTCAGAGACACACCTGCCGAGCTCACCCAGGCTGGGTTCACTCCTGGTGAGTCTCAGAAGAGCCAAGGTGATCTTCCCTCAGGGTCCCACCAGCGCCTCCATCTTGTGGTGGCGCAGGTATCTGAGGTGGCTTCATGGCACAGAGTCAAGAGGTGTTGCCCAACAGAGAGAACACATCCTGTAAGGCACCTGCCCTGCCCTGGGATCTCACCTGACCCCAGGTCAACAGTTCCCTTCGTTGCTACATCTCTCTGCTTTAGCCCAGTGTTCACCAAACACAACATAGACACATAATACACAACCACATGGGCACACCATCCACAAAACACCATCTCTTTCACCTTTTGCCTCATTTTATAGGTTCTATGTTGTTTTCCTTCCTTGTTCTCTGGACTTTTCTCTTTCCCATCTCTCTTCACAGGGAACAAGAAGAAGACAAGGAAATGGCCGATTTCCTGAGAATCAAGTTAAAACCTCTAGACAAAGTAACCAAATCTCCAGCCAGTAAGTGCACACAGGGCTCCCCAAGCCCTGCCCCTCCCCACTCAAAAGGACAGTTAAAGAATCAGGGTGCCCAAGGGCACGCAAAAAAATACTTTTCACTGACCCATAGAATGGAAGCGTGCAGGCTGGCTTCACCCCGCTGAGAAGGGCCCCCCATTTGCTGAATGCTTAGCAGCCATGTCTGGAGTTGATTTTTTAGCAAAAACCAGAACGAACAAACTTGCCATGGCGACCCAGGTGTGCGCCACACGGTTTTTCAAGTCTGTAACCTTTCAGAGACAGATCACCAGATCTTTCTTCTGAGGTGCCTCTGGGTGGGTTCGAACTGCCAGCCTCTCAGTTAGTAGTCAAGCACTTGACTAATTTGCACCACCTCGAGAACCCCTCTTTGGAGCAAGGGGTTCATTTTGTAATGGGCTCTGGTTGCATAGTGAATTATGAGCTGGACTTCTAACTGGAAGGTTTGAGTCTACCAGCTGCTCTGCAGGAGAAAGATGAGGCTTTCTGCTCCTGTAAAGATTTACAGTCTTGGAAACCCTGTACAGGGTTGCTATGAGTCAGCACATGATCCCCAACCAGTACCACCTGCATATCATTTAGCGGGTCCTGGCAGCAGCGGCCCTCCCTAACCACCAGGTTTGGTGCATTTCCTAGGAGGAGTTGGGTGAGCACTGAAGCAAGGTGAAACTGAGGCACAGGGAGCTGGGGCCAATATTGGAATCTGTGAAGATTGGAACCGAATATCAGCCTCTTAAGATGCTCTAAGCAACAAAAAAGGGTTCCATATGAAATAAATTTGGGAAATGTTGTATACTTGATCGGCTACTTGGAGGATCTGTGTCTTTTTGCCTAATGTAGAGATAATGGGCTGTGCTGTCAAAGAATGAGGCTTGTTTCTATAATGTATCCCTTCTGTATCAGTGAGGTGTCTTCTTTCCCTTTCAAGAAATGGAGGCCTAATACAAACTGACCCAAGTCAAAAAGGGGGTTTGTTGAAAGAACAGTAACACATGCCAGGTCCTCAGGGGCTGAACATTGTTAGACCGCCCTCACTCTCCTTCCACTTCTTATCTCTGGCTTTCTTTGCACATTAGCTTCATTTTCTCCTACTACACAATCCATCTTGAAGCCAGAACCAGAACTGGGCATCTCCAGGACAACAATGCAGCTTCTCTCTCCTGGTATCTAAATACATACATCTCCGAGAAAGGCCCTTATTACCTCTTAGGCCAATCATTGTTACTAAGAGAGTAGAGTATTATGATTGGGCAGGTCAGTGTCACATGACCACCCCTACAGCCACAGAGACACACTCTGTCTCCAGAAGAAGAGGAATTGGTCATCTTGCTGGGTCGACAAAAGCCAAAAGCTGCCACAATCTACTACAACCAGAAACTCAGTTTTCACGGACCACCCATTTAACGTCTCAGGAAAACATGGTTGTAGTACGTGGGTGGGGATGTGAAGAAAGAGAAAGGCTGTGGTCCCTTCTGTTGTTATTAAGTGCCATCAAGTCACTGCCAACCCATAGTGACCCTGTTCCAAGGAGCAGCTGGTGAGCTTGAACCTCCGATCTTGCACATCAAAGCGACTTTACAGTCCAGCTCATTAACCCACAGTGACACACCAGAACTCCCTTCTGCTGATCCCTAAAATCATAAGGCACATGATCTCTGCCTAAAGTCAGTCTCTTCTATGACAGAAAAATGCCTGCATTCCATGTAGGGCTGTGGAGAGGGAAAAAATAAATGATTCTGGCAAGAAATCAAAATGCCAAGCCCATACTTTGCGCCAGAGGCCAAGTGTGGTGGTCCAAATTTACACTACCATCCGGTGTTGGAATCCTAAATTGAAAATTTAATATTAATAACTAATCTAAAAACAGCAAAAGTTCTGGAACCCCAGAAGAAATAAATGCAAAACTGCTTGATCAAGACCCTTCTGAATCCCATGCTCATAGACTCCAACAGATAAGACAACCCCCTTGAAGATGAGCGCTTAATGAGAATTTTTAAACCACATGGAAATAAACGCTCATGAGACAAGTCAGTAGATGCAACAAAGAGAACATCTGCCATCCCAAGAACCAGAAAGAACAATTATTTAAGAGAGTCAATAAATCTTTTTAAAATGATTAAAGGAATAAAGATAAAAAGGAGGATGTTATGGAAAAAGAATAGGTAGATTTGCAAATAATAATGTTGTTGTTGTTGTTAAGTGCCATCGCGTCAGTACCGACTCATAGTGACCCTATGCACAGCAGAATGAAACACTGCCCAATAAGGATGTTGTTGTTGTTAAGTGCCATCGCGTCAGTACCGACTCATAGCGACCCTATGCACAGCAGAATGAAACACTGCCCAATAAGGATAGCCTTCTAAAAATACTCATGAATTGTCACTGAAGTAAAAATTCAATGGTTAGGTTGAAGCGCAGATTAAACAGAAGGACGCAGCTAAAGGAAAGATTCATAAACTGGAAGACAGATCAGAGGAAATCACCGACAATGCAGCACAGAGACAAAGAAATAGAAAATAGAAAAAAGAGGTTATGAGATATGGAGGCTAGAATGAGAAGGTTCAATATATGTAATTTGTTGTTAAAGTGTTGTCAAGTCAGTTCTGACTCATAGCGACCCTATATAGATAGGGTTTCTGAGGGGTGACTGGTGGGCTTGAATAGCTGACCTTGTGGTTACCAATCCAGTGTCTCTCCTCCAGCGCCACACCAGGGCCCCAGAGATCGGAATAGAAGGGCCGGAAGTTGTGGCTGGAAGCTGATGGCTGAAAGTCAGTAGGCCCAGAGGGAGGTGGTAAGAGTCAGCAGGACCATTGCAAACACCTGTCAGCTTCCATGGCCCCACCACCTGGCCTGTGGAGCTGAGCAAAGCCTTGACTAGAGGCTGGGTGGGGCTGGAGCTGCAGATGCTCAGTACCATCCTCACCTCATCTCCCCCTTTCTTCCTGTGTGTGTCTACCTTGCCACAGGCTCCCGGGCAGAGAAGAAAGCAGAGCCCCCACCTAGCAAGCCCACAGTGGCCAAGACGGGGTTGGCACTCATCAAGGATTGCTGTGGGACCACCCAGTGCAACATCATGTAGCTCCCACGGGGGGTGCCCCCGGGGCCACGGAGACCCCATCCCACCCTGTTGTCTTCATAGCCCCCATTTCACCGGGGCCCAAGAGCTCTCCAAGGCAGAAGGGGTTGAAGGCAAGCCCGTGACTGCCGCCAGGGGCCTGGGCTCGGCGGGCAGGCCCAGCCGCCCTGTACAGAGTAGCAATAGGGAGTCCTCACCGTCGCATGGCCCTCCCCAGAGCATGCTGAACCCAGGAGTCTGTCTTACCGTTTATCCAACCACCAGGAAAGGTCCTCCTTCGAAAAAGTATATCTCCACGTATCTAGCTGTACCCACCCTGCCGTGTGAATGGACTGGGAGAGGGGCGTGATCCCCCAGTGCGTACTGTCTCCATCCACCCTCCGCTCTGCTCCCGGACCCGCACAGCTCCATTCCGTCTGTTCCCGCCCTGGGGGCTGTGCCCTGGAGGGCTCCACAGAACCCACGCGCCTCTCAGGCGTCATAATAGGTGTGGCATTCTCGGGGACACGGAGGGCCCATCTGTAAAGATTGTGCGCTTATGTGCTGTCGTGGTTAGGTCCCCCACTTCCCTCCAGCCTGTGTCTGTGCACGGTTCATATTAGGGGTGTCCACTGTGCTCTTGGCTCTTCCTCCCCTGGTAGTATCCACCCCAGGAGTGGGGTGGGGGGACCGAGCGGGAACAGGGAGGCCGGTCTGGAGCAGATGCAGCGGCTCAGAAGAGGCTCCAACCTCCAAGGCAGGGCAGACAGGAAGGGACTCAGAGAGGAGGCTCCCTCCACCCACGAGGAGGCTCCGAGGGAGGGCCAGCAGGAAGTACCCTCACCAGCTTTGCACGTGGACCTGGAGTGGAGAGAGCAGGGACAGGCGGGAGAGGCGCCCTCACTCGGTGGCGTCCACTGTAAGCAACCTAACAGTTCCATCTGTGTCCGTCAACGTGCATTTGCTACCGCCAGCCAGGCACAGCCCGTGTGACCTCTCTGTACCTGTGTGTGTGTCGTGACCGGCCTCAGTAGTTAGCCTAACTCAAGATTTGCTGATGTGCAAAATCAGAGAAAATAAAAATGGAAACCGCGTACACATCATTTTTTAAACTTTTCACTTTTCTTCTCGACTGTAGAAGCAATCCATGTACATATAGACCATTAGGAAAGTTCAGAAAGTATGACGCTATAGAATTCCTCCAATTGGAGCCCACCTAGGACATTTTGGCCTATTTCGTTTTCCGTCTTTGTTTCTATGCGTTGTTTTTTTTGTTTGTTTGTTTTGTTTTGTTTTTTCATGATTGACCTCGTATTTTACCATTTGTAACCATTTTTATTCCCCCACTTAGAATTCAATCACTATCGTTCTACCACGTCACTAAACTTTCTTTGTAAACATTAAACACGCTTCATAAATATTTTCAGTGGCTTCTTATTAATCCATTCCGGTGGGTATATTATGACTGATTTCTCTAATCACTTCCTCACTATTGGACGTTTAGCTGCTTGTGGTTTTTCAGTCTTTTCAATAATATTGTTATTGCTATCCTCAGGAGACTTGGTAGTACAGTGGGTTTAGCGTTGGGCCGCTAACCAAATCGCAGTCCAGTGCTGATCCTACAGCGTCACACCAGGTATCCAGACGTAACGTTTGGGGGCCATTAGGGACTCCTGGGTTCGCCAACTGCAACCTCATGCTCTCAGAGAGATGTTGAGTTCACATTCCCAGCCTGTAATTGATGAGTGGTGACTCGGCCACCCCAGCAGCAGTGGAGCTCCCTATAAACCTTTCTTTTCACTAGCTGGGCAGCCCTGAGCCACAGAGTTCAACATCCCAGCTCATCTGCAGCCTGAGAAGCAGCATTTCCAGGGCCTCAGACACCGGCCACCACAGCACAGTCAGAGGGTGTGGTGGGGTGGAGTAAAGCACTCAGTACAGCTCTCCTGGGGTCCTATGTCAGTTCATTTCCCACTGGTTAATTCCTTCATCAATCTTACTAATCAGTGAGGTAATTGTCAGGTGCTAGGAAGCAGGTAAGAAGTCCTCATGTGGTACAATGGCTGTGCTCAACTGCTAACTGAAAGGTTGGTAGTTTGAACCTTCTAGCTGCTCTGTAAGGATGTCAGGCAGACCTGCACTGTCCGTCCCGTCGGGCCACTGAATTGGAAGGCCTCAGCAGCAACTAGTAGCAGGGAGCAGAGATGGATGGCTGCATCTCACTTACGATCCAGCGAAGGGACTGGGGGCATGAAGAGCAGAGGCCTCCTGGACCGTGTTCATGATTAGCAGAAAGGAAAGCAATCTAGAAAACGATTAAGGGCTTCCATTTGGAGTCAGACTGGGCTACAATCCCAGTTCCCGGTGTGAGCCTGGGCAGTTTTCTTCATGCCTCTACACCTCTGCGATCACCTGAGAAGATGATGTTGCTGTGTGCTGTAGATTCCAACTCACAGCAATCCTGTAAAAGTGAGCCGATCCCACTGCTCCACCAGGTTTCCTTAGAGAGAACAATACTCCATTGCCCTCAGTTCGATTCTGACTCACCAGACAGAGAACTATCCCCTAGGGTTTCTAAGGCAGTAAATCTATGGAGTCCTGGTGTGGTGCTGTGGGTTAATGCGCTGGACTGCAAGGTTGGAGGTTCCTCGGAAACCCTATACAGGGTCACTGTGAGTCAGAACTGACTCGACAGCATTTAATGACAATAAATCTATGGAAGCAGACTGCCACATCTTTCTCCCACAAAGCTGCTCATGGGTTAGAACTGCTAACCTTTCAGTTACCAGCCCAGTGCTTAACCCAAGGCACCACCAGGTCTCCTTTAGAACAAACAGTGGGATTCTAGAATAATACCTTTTGTAACCCCTCCTGAAGTTCTTGAGACCCTGGGGCTGGGGATGGAGATGAAGTGGAGAGAACTTGAACCTGAGGTTCTGCCCTCAGGAAGTTGATGGCGAGTAAGAGAGAGGCAGGAAGGGCATTGCAGTGTAAACAAAGCTGATGGATCCCACGGGTCAGCAGAAAACTTGCATTCTCATGGCTCCTCAAGATTTCTGCACATTCCCTGACCCCAAAGTGGGTGCCATCTAACCATGAATCCGTGCATCCTTGATGCCTCTCTTCGCTCCTCCATTCCATTCTCAGTCCCATAGGGAAGCTGGAGCCTGGTTGTACACTCTTCTCAGCAGTCAACCTGTACAGGGCCCGGAACACGCAGCTGACTTCACAGAAATGCTGTGGAGGGGGGGGGGGGGGGGTTACGTCCCAGATTCAGCCACAAGTCAAGCTAAGTGTTTTGTTTCCCACATCCCTCAGCACCCACTCCCACCCACCATGTTGCTCTTCCCCTGCCCTCTTGCAGTCCCCTTCACTATAAATGTCCTCCTCGCTCCAGGAAACCCAGTAAGTCAGCTCTCAGCCTTTATTCCCATATTCAGCACCAGGCTTTTAGCTGCTACCTCCTGTGCCCCTCTCCCTCCTCAAAATGCCAGAGACAGCAAAGGATGATGAAGTCTCTCTCTGCTGGTAAGAAATGAGTGGCTCCCTGCATCTCCTTCCTTAGGCAGAGAAGCTACGTCAGGTCTGGATTTTAATTAATCATAGCTTGTCCTTCCACCCCATTGGAATCATAGAGGCCCTGGGACAGGAAGGGGCCTGGAAAACATTCAGAAATACTTTTCTATGGAGCCGGGGGCAGCTAGCAGATGGGGTTGGGATGAAGGGGTAGGGGTAGGGGATGGCAGGGGCAACCTCTACATTAGGCCTGTGTGTCAGAAGTGGCTGAAACTGAAGCCAAACTGGAATAAATGAAGTAGGGCTTTTCCAGGCTCCTGGGCTGGGCTGTCCTGAGATGCAGGGATTCAGGTATCATCAGCTGGACTTGGGGATCTCATCGCCTCTAGGCCGTGTCTCCCTCGTTCAAGTCTCTGGTGGAGTCTCCTTGCGTGGTGGCTAACAGCCTGGGCTCAGCCCCAAGTACCTGCCAGGGTGCAACTGTGTAAATGACACCAGAAATGCAGCCTGGCCTGCCTAGGGGGTGTCACTGGGGGCGGCCAAGCTGGGGTCGTAAGGCCAAACACTGGATCCAGGGAAGAGTCGCGCACTTATGCCAGGCATGCTGGGCAAACAGTCTGTTGTCTTCAGACACAGCATTCCAGAGAAGGGCAGAGGCTTCCAGTGAGCTCAGGATGAAGCCAGAAGCTCAGATCCACCCCCTCATCAGTCCTCTGCTCCAGACTTGATTCAACCAGATGCTGTTTGCTCAGGTTCCAACAGTAACAAAGGCCCAGTGCCAACCACAACCTATGTGGTCTGGAGGGGAAGAATGCCCAGTGGATGCATTTCCCTGGCTCTGCAGAGTCCTGGTGTGGCGATGTGGGTTAATGCGCTGGACTGCAAAGTCGGCTTGAACTGCAAGGTCAGTGGTTCAAATTCACCAACTGCTCCTTGGAAACCCTTCACAGGGTCACTATGAGTGGTAACTGACTCAACAGCATTTAACAATGGTCCTGATGGGCACCATCAGAAGCCTGGCCTGCAGACAGCCAGTACGGATCCTACGTGATGATCCAGGCTCAAGTCTGATCTACAGAGCCTGACTTGGTCTCACAGGGAGGACCCAGGCGCCTGAGTGAAGCTTTGCAGGAAATGCCGGGGTTAAATAGCAGTGAGGAGCTGCACTGATCTCCCGGTTGATGGGGCAAGCAGTCAGTGACCTATTGGGCTGGGTAGAACTGCTCCTTAGGGTTCCTGAGAAGGGACATCAGTTTGAGAGCTGGCAGCCTCATCTTTCTCCTGGGGAGTGGCTGGTGGATTTCAACTGCTAACCTTGAGGCTAGCAGCCTAACATACCCTACTACCCACCAGTGCTCCTGGCTAGAAACCAGGGAAGCTGCTGGTAAAGGGAGATCTGGAACTGTGGGCAGTGCTGGACACTTATGTGGAATCAGGCAGCCTCTCAGGCTATGTTGTTGCTGTTCCAGGTCACTGGGTTGCTGCTGATTCATAGTGGCCCTGTAGAGTCTTTCTGAGGAGGGGCTGGAGGGGCTGAACTGCTGATCTTGTCATTACTCCAGTGCTTATCCTACAGCCCCACATAGGGAACTCCAAGCTATGGCAGATTGGAAACGCAGAGGTAAACCTGATGCCACAATTCCCATCCCAACCTAGTCCTACAAAGTCACTTGTACCCACTCTTAGGGGGACTCTATGTCAGATTTTCTGAAAGTATTACCACAGGTTTTGAAGTACTTTAAAATAAACATATTGAACATTCCGCTTCACTTTTGGTTGAGCCTGGGATGTAAACTCCCTTCCTCCACAGCAATTCTGTGAAGTCAGCTGCATGTTCCAGGCCTACGGAGAACGTTCACCCAAACATGTA